ATTATGATGTTTTTTGTATCAGAGCCCCCAAACTGAGTTGATTCAGTATCGCTGTTACAATGTCCTGATGAAAATCCTCTCTCTACACCCACCCACCTCCCCCACGACCACCGAGCTTTACCGGGCAGCATACACAGATACTCAGAATACCACACAGACCCAGGGCACAGTGTTCAGGTAATGGCACCTGTCATCTGCTGTTTGATGAAATGTCTTTTTAGCTCACCTCAACGAAGTTGGGGGGAGCTTATGTGATACCGTCGGCGTCGGTGTCGGCGTCGGCGTCCCAGGTTAAGGTTAAGTTTTTTGGAGCAGTTTTCTTTTTAATTACTTCTGTGTCCTATACTGATTAGACATGCATGGAAGATGGTTTTAATGTGTTTTATTGTACCAGACAAAGTTTCAGATGCTGCAATTTCAGCAAAGGAATGACCAGGTTAATGTTTTTGGAGCAGGTTAACATTTTTGGTGCAGTTTTTGGTGTGGGTTTCATTTCCAAGTAACTATAAGCCCTATGTTGACCAAACTTGCATGGATGATACATCTAAGGATGCATACTACCGGGCTTGCTTCGGATGCTGAATCTGACCTACATTTTCCGGTTGAGTGAACAGGTTAAAGTTTTTGGTGTAGGTTTCATTTCCAAGTAACTATAAGCCCTATGTTGACCAAACTTGCATGGATGATACATCTAAGGATGCATACTACCGGGCTTGCTTCGGATGCTGAATCTGACCTACATTTTCCGGTTGAGTGAACAGGTTAAAGTTTTTGGTGTAGGTTTCATTTCCAAGTAACTATAAGCCCTATGTTGACCAAACTTGCATGGATGATACATCTAAGGATGCATACTACCGGGCTTGCTTCGGATGCTGAATCTGACCTACATTTTCCAGTTGAGCGAACAGGTTAAAGTTCTTGGTGCAGGTTTCATTTGCAAGTAACTTTAAGACCTATGTTAACCAAACTTGCATGGATGATACATCTAAGGATGCACACTACCAGGCTTGCTTCGGATGCTGAATCTGACCTACATTTTCCAGTTGAGTGAATAGTTAAAAGTTTTTGGTGCAGGTTTCATTTCCAAGGAACTATGAGTTTTTAAATGACCAATCTTGCATAGACGATCTAAGGATGCATACTTCCAGGCTTGCTTCGGATGCTGAATCTGACCTACTTTTTGTAGATGAGTGAAAATGTTAGTTTTGATGCTTGTTTCATTTCCAATAAACTATGAGCCCTATAATGAGCAAACTTGCATGGATGATACATCTAAGGATGCACACTAATGGACTTGCTTCGGATGCTGAATTGGACATACATTTTTCAGATAATAGACAAGGTAAAAGTTACGGTTGCAGGTCTATTACCAAAAACTATAAGGCTTATATAACATTGTATATACCAAACTTGCACAAATGCTGCATCAAGAGATGAAAACTCGCAAATTTGCTTCAGATGCTGGATTTTCATTACATTTTCATGAAGAAGAAGTAGTTTAAATTTTTTATGTAGGTCTATTTCAAAGTATCAGATCAAAATTGCTTTTAAAAATATTTTCATTTTTGGAATGTATACTTTTTGTTGGTTAATTGTGTGACTTTGCCTTACTTAAAGACAACATTCGTTGAGGTGAGCTCTGTAATCTCTGATTACCTATGTTTTCTATTATTTATCAATATTTTCTGATTCATTGATATTTTACAATTTAAGTGCAAATATATATATTGTTAGTGTCATGTGTTGATGGAATTAGCGGTAAGAGATGAATCAATTACTTCTTAAAACCATTCCTCTGTTCACAGCTCTTTTCTCCAAAGACTGGGTGACACAGATAGTACAACTTTTCCAAAAGGCCATGTTCTGCTACTGAGGTTTATTGTAGCGGTCCTAGAAGTCAATCTCCAGCATTATTTGGACAGGTGTGTATATTTCTACTGAGGTTAATTGTGGCCACCCTAGAAGTCAACCTCCAACATTACCGTAAATCTGGAAATTGTTATGTCGATTTATTTTTGCGAATTTGGGTCAAAAAGTTGTTGATTAATTTTTACGCTTCAAAATTTTTGAATTGTCACTGGCGCTAAAAATAAAAATCACTTAAGATTTTTTCAAATTAGTATGCACAGTTAGAATACCACCAATATACTCGCAACATGGCAAGAAATTGCAGAATCGCTCCGAAACAATTTTGAAGATAAAAAAAAAAAGGATTTGCACTGAAAATAACTTCTAAATTAATTATAACAAACCTTTTAGAGGTTGTTTATGCCTTTTAACCTAAAATATAATCCAAATGAAGACAAAAATATAACTAATTTTCTCAACGTTTGGTTTTTCTTACCTAAAATTTATGGGCCGTGTTTACTCTCTAGTAAATACACTGAGTTCGAGTTATCGCCCGTGTTGATACATGGTTAGATAAAATAACTGGTCTCTCTTTCTTGGCAAAATAATTAAAAAGGGACATACCGTCTCAGTGCTTGTCAAACCATCGGACGATATTGCATATAATGAGGGCAATTTACACGTACAGGTAATTAGCTTTTAGTTACAGTAGTATAAACAGATTTCTTTTTTAAAATGACCAGTCCTTACCGACGCCTATTCACTGAGTTAAAAATAGACACCAACTTTCAGAAAAAAATTTCTTTACATGTTGATTTATTTTTAAGAAAAATATTTTTGCGAATGCAATGCACTCGCAAATTTGCTAAAAATTTATCTACAGTAAAAATTTCCAGATTTATGGTATTCGGACAGGTGTGTATATTTCTACTGAGGTGTATTGTGTAGCCACCCTAGAAGGCAACCTCCAGCATTATTTGGACATTTATTTTGGCACTCAGGTTAAAAGGTTTTGGAGCAGTTTTCTTTCCAGGTACTTCTATGCTTTACATAATAAGAGATGCATGAAGGATGCCTCTGTTTCATTGTACCTGTCAAGGTTTCAGATGCTGCAATTTCAGCAAAGTATGACGAGATTAATGTTTTTGGAGCAGGTCTCTTTTCCAAAGAAATATAAGCCCTTTTTGACCAAACTGGCATGAATGATACATGTACATTAAAAGAAGCACACTACCAGGATTGCTTTCAGAGCTGGATCTGACCTACATTTTTCAGATGAGTGAAGTTAAGTTTTGGGAGCAGGCCTCATTTCCAAGTAACTATTCTTGATTTCACTGCAGTTGTGCAATGGAATGTGACCTTACAGTTTACACTATTGATGTTTCTCTTATCTTAAATTTCATTTTTTACTCTTGAAATCCCAAGTCCAAGCATTTTGTTGGCATATCAGTACTGCAAAAATATATTGCAACTCGACAAACTTTGTCAATAATTGCAGCGTTACAATTAACATGACACAATTACATTAAATTATGTCAACTATTTTATGAAAAATCTCTATATTATGACTGATTAAAATACATGTAGCTTTGAATATGAATATGTATGTGGACTATTTGTTTGCAGAATTGAGAAAGGGGAGATTAAAATCCGTAAACTGAGGGGATGTATGATTGCTCAGATTTTATGGCCTGGCAGCACACTGATGTCTGTTAACACGGTGTGTAAGGACTTGGTTGTACTGTTTGGACTCTGTGTTACTGAAGATATGGATGACTTAATGAAGGTAAGGCTACCATCTTGATTTTTATGCTCCCAGATCAAAAGATCCCATGGGTATATAGATTTTGTCCTGTCTTTCTGTCTGCTAGTGATGGGACATCGGTTAATTTTCATAATCGATCATCGGTTGGAATCGGTTACTGCTTCTGATGCGATTTTACAGATTATAATCAGATGTCATAGTTTCGTATATAAAAGCAGACTATAACAATGAATTCATATTATTTCTTAATTGCGGATATATATTATATGTAATATATTGTTTTCTTTGTTTTTTACCTTATTCTCTACTTTCTATATAATACCTTTTGTTTCTTAATCCCCTCTGCTTTTTGCTAGTTTGCTTTGTAACACATAAGTATGGTGAATGGTGTGATGCCTGTCCATATGAATCATTGACCAGGCACTGTTAGCATTAAAATAACCTGGAGATTCCAACTAATACACTGTATATAAATTAGAAACCAAGAAAAAAGATGTACTTGTATAATTTGTTGATAAATGATAATTAACACATCATATATTATATTAATTAGTACGTTTCCGATGATCGATTATGAAAAACAATAATCGATCATCAGAATCGGTAGCATTTTTTCATCGACAATCGATGTTTTCCGATTATCGGTACAACACTACTGTCAACTTTAACATAGCCCATAACTATTGCGCTGTCAAGGGTATTGTGTTACTTATGGAGCATAGTGCTTCACAAACACATCTTGCAATATTTCTTAATTAATAAGGTTTAATATTCTTTCAAATTTGTCAACCACGTGATGGATAAAATTCTTTTGGGACTAGTCATGTAATATAATTACAGAGAGACTTGATTAAGCTGAGCACCAGCCTGATTTGTATGGCAGTACTTATAGCACAGTACGTAGAGACAGGTCAGAGGTTAAACTTACAGGAGCCAATCGTAGCCAGCCATACAGCAGCCTCCTTACTGCACGAAGCAGTACGCCAAGTTCCAAGTAAGCTTTGATTTGGTCAATTGCTTCTTGATTAATATGGTTTGACTGTATATTCTTATTATTTCAAAAGTATATTTCTATTTTAACATTTAGGCACTCTCAGGATAGAGTTATTAAGAGCAATTCTCAGGAACTTGAGTCCTTCCTGGATTGCAGTTCATTTCTGCTGTTTACTTCTCAGAAATCTAGATGATTATCTTCTGCTGCAAGATCTGCCAACAGAGGGCATAAGCCTGAAGGAAATTGTAAGCTGCCTCAAGATGTAGTTTTGTATCTTACATTTGTAAAAAATGAAGTGAAAGTTTTTGTAATTCAGGATATCTAAATGTTTTGTTTTCTGAATTTCAGGTCACAAAGTACTTCTTTCTGTTACCAAAACTTAACAGCAATCAAAGTAATCTAAGACAAAGTTCACATAAAAAGAGGAGTGTATCCAGGTCTGTTTACTATTTACATAAATGAATCCTGTTTAATTTGTATTCCTGATTGCTTTACATGATAGCAAAGCATTAGGAATCAGACTACGGGGTAAAATATTTGTGCACTTTACAGACAATTCTTCCCCACTTTGTCACAGTATAGTATTTAACCAGGCCCTAAATGGTCTGATTTGATCTGTTTGAAAAGGTACACTGTAAAAGAGGAATGTTTGAAACATGTAGGTTGCAGCAGGAGAGTAACACGAGAACGAGGAGATCACTGCTGAAGGGAAGAGACAAGGAGAACGAACGATTGGAGGAGGGAACCAGTACAACGTCAGCTGGGAAAAATGTCAACAAGAAGAATGTCAAAGGTCAAGGACAGAAAATAAGTCAGCTTATGACCATTGAGATTTTGTATTGTATTGTCTGGAAGTCCATGTATTTAGAAAATCATAATAGAGATTAATTCACTTTTATATACTGACACGCAAAAGAAACGCAACAAGCAGTAATTTACAAATGTTTGATTTTTTTATCTTATGATTTTCAAAAGCGAATAAAGTAAGGCTAAATTCACTTTTCAGAACATAAGAGATTTGATAAAAATGTTAAATGTTTATCTGTTTACTTTACTAAGTAAACTATGACTGTTAAAACACCCCCCTCCCAGCCATTCAAGTAAAACGTGCAAGACTGCCCTAAACAACAGTTGCAGCTTAATTTCTACGATACAATAGGTTCATTTATATCTAGATCTCAGCAAAGGAATTATTTTTTGATATTTTTAAATGCCCGTTTTTCAGATAATTAGGTCGAATTTTCTCTAACTTAGAGCAGTGTAGTCACCCTTGGACTGCCGGTACAAGGACTTCCTTAATGCATATGATACGTAAGACCCTGCTGAGGCGAAATGTAGTGAAATTTCGCATCAGCAACTCTCCATCACCTTTACACTGAAATTTTCCAGCTAGAGCAATGGAAATGCGTACATCAGCCATTTTCAAGTAGCCTTAGCATTGTTTCGGGAAACGAAAGTAGAGTTTATTTTTTGAAATATTGCTGCATTACTTATGATGAACAGTAAAAAACCCTTAAAACTCCATAATATTGCCAAATGTTTTGTTAAGCATGCAATTTTTGATTTCTGTTAAGCAGACTAAAACTTGACTTCTGGTTATGATATGGAAATCGTTCAACCGTTAATTTACTGATGTTTACCAAATTAAAAATATTCATAATTTTAAGATACAAAATTCTTTTCTTTACATAATTATTTCCCCCTAAAGTAGGGTGTTGCATTTCTTTTGCGTGTCAGTATAGTTTAAAGTAAGTTAAAGTAAGAAATGTTGCTAGAAATCTTGACAAAATGTGCTGTTAGAAGTATATTTGGTATAGTTGTTCATTTTAGTCGTATCTTTGTTGTAGGAGAAACTCCTCTACAAGCAGCTTGTATTAAAAACGATCTGAAGAAGGTCAGGCAGCTTCTGAAGATTCCAGGTAGGCCAGTGTTTTGTTCTCTATATGCAGTTGTAAAAACCTCGAAAAATTGAAATTTTTGGTACAGTTTACTCTACTTCTATTGAAATCACTTAGTTTGAAATAAATATAAATCACTTGTCTCTGTTTCTCATTATCTCTGGAATAAAATGCAGTGTACCAGTCATCATCATGGTTATTGACCTAAATTTTATAATAATGTATGCTTGAAAAGTTGAACATTTCCAAATAAATTTTCAAGAACAAACTATTTCATTTCAATATTCAAGTGTCATAGATTTTTTGCATGAAGAACCTTTTTATCATTTGAAGTTTGTCTTAAGTTTCTGATTTTTATAGTGATTAAGATTTTTTAAAAAAATGTCTTCATGGGCCAATTTTGCATTTTGGAGTACATTTGAGGGAAGAAAAAATTGGTCCCTTGAGCATCTATATATCTGAAGTAGACTGTAGTGTCTTTGTTTATGATGTTTTTTTAAGCTTTGACCCTGTTCATGTTTTATGAAGGCTGTTTTTTGTAGGTGTGGATGTTAATACCAGGGACAATGCTGGGTGGACTCCGTTACATGAAGCTTGTAATCTTGGACATGTAGAAGTTGTAAAAGAGCTGCTAAATTTTGTTCCTGCCAAAACTATGGATCATTTCTTCAGTCCTGGTAAACTCTCATTTGTATTTTACATAAATTTGATAATGGATCTCTAATCTTCAGAAGAAATTGTTTGTTAATTTATAATGGGTACATTATGCTCAGTTTGTAGTCCCAGGTCCTTTATTGAAAGCATTATTTTCATTAACTCCAAATTTTATTTCTTAAGATGGCAGTGTAGTATGTGTATCCTAAGTGGGCAAATAAAACCTAATAGTAGATGCTGTATTGCTGACTTGGACGACTGTTTTGTGTAGGAGGAAATATTATATTGCTAACTTGGTAGACTTGATATTTTTAACTTGGACGACTGTTTTGTGTAGGAGGTGATAAGAAGTGTAGGAAGGTGAACCTGTTGGCGGTGACAGATGACCTGATCACTCCACTCCATGATGCCGTGATGAACAACAGACTGGACGTGTGTAAACTGCTTCTACAGCACGGAGGTAATAATTATCTTGTAACACGTAGAGGTATTCCCTGGCTTGAAACCCTAAAACATCTTATTTATTGGCTTAAACTCCTACAACAAGGAGGTATTCTTACAACATGGTGGTAATATGAAATATGTAGCTATTTTGATCTTGGCTTTGGTGTGAGCCCAAGCAGTTGGTGTAGACGCAAATCCAGAGCGCACAGGTCACTCCTACAACAATAAGATATTCATTAACTCACACTCCTACAACAGGGAAATATTAATTATCTCACACTCCTACAACAGGGAAATATTAATTATCTCACACTCCTACAACAGGGACAGGGGGAAATATTCTCTATCCCACCCTTCTACAACATGGAAATATTCTTTATCCCACTCTTCTACAACATGGAAATATTCTTTATCCCACCCTACTACAACATGGAAATATTCTTTATCTCACCCTACTACAACATGGAAATATTCTTTATCCCTCCCTACTACAACATGGAAATATTATTTATCCCACCCTACTACAACATGAAAGTATTCTTTATCTCACCCTACTACAACATGGAGATACTCTTTATCCCACCCTACTACAACATGGAGATATTCTTTATCCCACCCTACTACAACATGGAAATATTCTCTATCCCACCCTACTACAACATGGAGATATTCTTTATCCCACCCTACTACAACATGGAGATATTCTTTATCCCACCCTACTACAACATGGAAATATTCTCTATCCCACCCTACTACAACATGGAAGTATTATTTATCTCACCCTACTACAACATGAAAGTATTATTTATCTCACCCTACTACAACATGAAAGTATTATTTATCTCACCCTACTACAACATGGAAATATTCTTTATCCCACCCTACTACAACATGGAAATATTCTCTATCCCACCCTAGTACAACATGGAAATATTCTTTATCCCACCCTACAACAACATGGAAATATTCTTTATCTCACCCTACTACAACATGAAAATATTCTCTATCCCACCCTACTACTACAACATGGAAGTATTATTTATCTCACCCTACTACAACATGAAAGTATTCTTTATCTCACCCTACTACAACATGGAAATATTCTCTGTCCCACCCTACTACAACATGGAAGTATTATTTATCTCACCCTACTACAACATGGAAATATTCTTTATCCCTCCCTACTACAACATGGAAATATTATTTATCCCACCCTACTACAACATGAAAGTATTCTTTATCTCACCCTACTACAACATGGAGATACTCTTTATCCCACCCTACTACAACATGGAGATATTCTTTATCCCACCCTACTACAACATGGAAATATTCTCTATCCCACCCTACTACAACATGGAGATATTCTTTATCCCACCCTACTACAACATGGAGATATTCTTTATCCCACCCTACTACAACATGGAAATATTCTCTATCCCACCCTACTACAACATGGAAGTATTATTTATCTCACCCTACTACAACATGAAAGTATTATTTATCTCACCCTACTACAACATGAAAGTATTATTTATCTCACCCTACTACAACATGGAAATATTCTTTATCCCACCCTACTACAACATGGAAATATTCTCTATCCCACCCTAGTACAACATGGAAATATTCTTTATCCCACCCTACAACAACATGGAAATATTCTTTATCCCACCCTACTACAACATGGAAATATTCTTTATCCCACCCTACTACAACATGGAAATATTCTTTATCTCACCCTACTACAACATGAAAATATTCTCTATCCCACCCTACTACAACATGGAAGTATTATTTATCTCACCCTACTACAACATGAAAGTATTCTTTATCTCACCCTACTACAACATGGAAATATTCTCTGTCCCACCCTACTACAACATGGAAGTATTATTTGTCTCACCCTACTACAACATGGAAATATTCTCTATCACACCCTACTACAACATGGAAGTATTATTTATCTCACCCTACTACAACATGGAAATATTCTCTATCCCACCCTACTACAACATGGAAGTATTATTTATCTCACCCTACTACAACATGGAAATATTCTCTATCCCACCCTACTACAACATGGAAATATTCTCTATCCCACCCTACTACAACATGGAAATATTCTTTATCCCACCCTACAACAACATGGAAATATTCTCTATCCCACCCTACTACAACATGGAAATATTCTTTATCTCACCCTACTACAACATGGAAGTATTATTTATCCCACCCTAGTACAACATGGAAATATTCTTTATCCCACCCTACAACAACATGGAAATATTCTTTATCCCACCCTACTACAACATGGAAATATTCTTTATCCCACCCTAGTACAACATGGAAATGTTCTTTATCCCACCTTACAACAACATGGAAATATTCTCTATCCCACCCTACTACAACATGGAAATATTATTTATCTCACCCTACTACAACATGGAAATATTCTCTATCCCACCTTACAACAACATGGAAATATTCTTTATCTTACCCTAGTACAACATGGAAATATTCTTTATCTCACCCTACTACAACATGAAAATATTCTCTATCTCACCCTACTACAACATGAAAGTATTATTTATCTCACCCTACTACAACATGGAGATATTCTTTATCTCACCCTACTACAACATGGAAATATTCTTTATCTCACCCTAGTACAACATGGAAATATTCTTTATCTCACCCTACTACAACATGGAAATATTCTCTATCTCACCCTAGTACAACATGAAAGTATTATTTATCTCACCCTACTACAACATGGAAATATTCTTTATCTCACCCTACTACAACATGGAAATATTCTTTATCCCACCCTACTACAACATGGAAATATTCTTTATCTCACCCTACTACAACATGGAAATATTCTTTATCCCACCCTAGTACAACATGGAGATATTCTTTATCCCACCCTACAACAACATGGAGATATTCTTTATCCCACCCTACTACAACATGGAAATATTCTTTATCCCACCCTACTACAACATGGAAATATTCTCTATCCCACCCTACTACAACATGGAAGTATTATTTATTCCACCCTACTACAACATGGAAATATTCTCTATCCCGCCCTACTACAACATGGAAATATTCTTTATCCCACCCTACTACAACATGGAAATATTCTTTATCCCACCCTACTACAACATGGAAATATTCTTTATCCCACCCTACTACAACATGGAAATATTCTTTATCCCACCCTACTACAACATGGAAATATTCTTTATCCCACCCTACTACAACATGGAGATATTCTTTATCCCACCCTACTACAACATGGAAATATTCTTTATCTCACCCTACTACAACATGGAAACATTCTTTATCCCACCCTACTACAACATGGAAATATTCTTTATCCCACCCTACTACAACATGGAAATATTCTCTATCCCACCCTACTACAACATGGAAATATTCTCTATCCCACCCTACTACAACATGGAAGTATTATTTATCTCATGTTCCTTCTACCTGTGGGTATTCATCAGCACATGGAGGCATATAACTTCCATTTACATGTTGTTGTTGTTGTGGTTTGTTTTTTTATACCCCCTGCAAACGAAGTTTAGGGGGGGTATATTGGAATCACCATGTCCGTCTATCTGTCCGTCTGTCTGTCTGTCCGTCTGTCTGTAGACAAGATTTTGTCCGGACCATTACTCAGAAACTATTGGAAGGATTTGTCTGAAAATTTGTACACATATTATTCACCATATGAAGTTGTGCACCTGAAATTTTCATCTTGATTCGATTATTATTAGGTCACCTGAGTAACTCAGGTGACCTATTGCTATCCGTTTTCGTCCGTCGTCGTGTGTCGTGCGTCGTGCGTCGTGTGTTAACATTTGAACATTTTCAGCTTCTTCTCTGAAACCACTTAACCAATTTCAACCAAATTTGGTATACAGCATCTATGGGTGAAGGGGAACAATAATTGTGAATTTCATGGTCCCTGCCCCCCTGGGGCCTGGGGGGTGGGGCAAAAACCACTAAAATTATTGCAATCTTTAAAAATCTTCTTCTTTACTCCTGGACATCAAGCAGGCAAACTGTTTGCATGAATGTAATGAGCAATGAGTCCTCTACTTAAATTGTGAAATTCATGGCCCCAGGGTCAGGGGTTCTAGTGCTAGGGCGGGGCTATATAGGTTATATAGTGAAAATGCATGATTTCTTTGAAAATCTTCTTCTCTGCTCCTAGGTATTAAATAAACAAACCAAGTACATAGGTATGATGAGCAAGAGTGCCTCTTCCTAAATTGTGAATTTTATGACCCCAGGGTCAGGGGTTCTGGTGTTAGGGCGGGGCTCTATTGGTTATATAGTGAAAATGCATTAATTCTTTGAAAATCTTCTTCTCTACTTCTGGGTATTAAATAAACTAACTAAGCACATAATTATGATGAGCAAGAGTGCCTCTTTCAAAATTGTGAATTTTATGACCCCAGGGTCAGGGGTTCTGGTGTTAGGGCGGGGCTCTATTGGTTATATAGTGAAAATGCATTTATTCTTTGAAAATCTTCTTCTCTACTTCTGGGTATTAAAAAAACTAACTAAGTACTAAGTTATGATAAGCAAGAGTGCCTCTTTCAAAATTGTGAATTTTGTTGCCCCAGGGTCAGGGGTTCTGGTGTTAGTGTGGGGCCCTATTGATTATATATTGAAGATGCATTTATTCTTTGAAAGTCTTCTTCTCTGCTCGTGGGTATTAAATAAACTATGTAATTAAATAGTTATGTTGATCAAGAGTGCCTCTTTCAAAATTGTGAATTTTACGACCCCAGGGTCAGGGGTTCTGGTGTTAGGGCGGGGCTCTATTGGGTTATATAGTGAAAATGCATTTATTCTTTGAAATTCTTTCCTTTGCTCCTGTGTTTAATGCCTATGATTCAAATATATATATTCATGATGAAGAAAGGTGCACCTACCAAAATGGTTATTTTTTATGCCCCGTCCCTTCCCTGGGTCGGGGTGAGGGGGGGGGAGGGGGGTCAAAGTCTGAAAATAAATTAATGCTTTGAAATTTGCTCTTTGGTGTGTTAATCAACCATTTTATGATAAAATTTGCAAAATTTTGAAATATGTGGCCCCAGGATCAGTGTTTCCTTTGGGATGAGGTGTAGAACTGGTTTTAAAGTGGAAGTGCATTTTCTCTTAATGTTACTCTGATCTACCTCTGGGTAATAAGTAAATAGAGTTAGCATGCTAAGTCTAAATTATTATAAGCAATATTACCTCTTTCAAAATTGTGAATTGCAAATTCCATGGCCTCGAACCAAATTTAATTGTTTGAAAGTTGTTGCACAATACTCAGGTGACCTATAAGGCCCGTGGGCCTCTTGTTTTAAATTTTACAGGTGTTTTTTCATTTTTATTTTGTGGTTTTGTCCGGACCGTTTCTCAGAAACTATTGCAAGGATTAATCTGAAAATTTGTACACTTATTATTCACCATATGAAGGTGTGCACCTGGAATTTTCAACTCTTTTTGTTCATTTTTATGCATTTTACAGGTTTTATTTTTTATTTTAATTGACTTGTTCATTTTGGGCTCATGTATAAGGTTTGAGACATAGAATCTAGAATATCTGTACAAAAACGTTAACTACAGCTTAAAACTACTCATAAAAACTGAAAAAAAAAGAAACATCATCAAGTGTTAAAAACAGTTTTTACATTGCACAGAAGATAATGTAATTTCATTTGTCTCTTGGGAATAATGACTGGACATGCATCCAGTTAAAGATGAATTAATGAGTTTGGTGTGGGAAGTTGAACATTAAGGTATCTCATTATGAACCATATGTTATCTCCTGGGAATCGGGCACAAGAATTAAAGATCTCTCTTCTCTTATTCTCTTAATTGTAATTTATTGTCTGTCAAAGCACTTCATTACTGGATGACCAGCTCTTTATTTTCAAAATGAATGTGATATAAAGTTATCAAGATTAATTTGATTTTGTATAATATGATTTTTTTTCAACAATCAGTTTGCAGAGTGACATAACACATAATTGCAATATATTTTTTAATGCAGAAATAAAAAGATAAAATAAAAAAAATAATGTTACAATGGAAATTCAATGTATTAGTATTGATGTTTCATTTGGTTGCACCTTTGTTTCATTCATTAAGAAACATGATGAGCATGCAATTATATTTCACTGCAAATTTTTAAAGTAAATTGTGAACACCTCTAGATCCATAAAGTATTTTTGAATTGGCACCTTCTCTGAAAAACCCAGCGGGGGGTATTTGTCCCTACTGGACAGTTCTAGTTTTTTTTTGCTTATTTTAGCCAATAAATCTGTTTGATTTATACCTTTAGGTCCAGCCATGTTAGAAAGTAAAACTTCTTTAAATCAGACACCATTAGACCTGGCCACTACAAGTCAAATGAAGGAAATTCTGCTGTCCTACATAGAGGATCGTTCAGCAAGGTCGTGTTCTCAAGGTAGGTCAAACATTATCTAGAATAACAGGGGATTGCTCAGCAAGGTTGTGTTCTCAGGGTAGGTCACACATTATCTAGAATAACAGAGGATCGGTCAGCTAGGTCGTGTTCTCAGGGTAGGTCAGACATTATCTAGAATAACAGAGGATTGGTCAGCAAGGTCATGTTCTCAGGGTAGGTCACAAATTGTCTAGAATAACAGGACTTATCTTGTTGTCTGCAATATATCACCAATCATTGTAATAACTAAGAGCTTTAAAATCATTAGAGAATATATGTGTATTTTTCCAAATCAAGAAAATAAGTTCATAACTAGTCAAGTTTTTAAAAACTCGAAGTTGTCAAGTATGTTTTTTCTATGCTAGCCTAAGTGAGAAAGAATGAAGAGTTTAGAATATAATATATGTGTATGAATTTAATTGTAAATTGAGAGTTTCATTTGATGACTCTATTTTCAGGCAGCGTCAGCAGTGATGGCCCGGCAGACTCTCCCCCCAGTGATTACCTGTATGAGCAGGTGCTGGGAGGGGAGGATCGTGGATTTGCAGACCGAGAGGAGTGTGCTAAGTACATCGCTGTGATAACTACATTGATTCATTCTTATCTTAAAGTGATGGACTACAATCAAATTCAGGCTCTAATGAACGGAAAACTGAACCTGTCTTGTAAAAGTGACAAACACCATGGAAAGAGCGAAAAGGTCATAAAACAGTATAATGGAACAGAAGATTGTTCTAAGAAAACTGTCAGTTGCTCAATTGAAAATGGATCCACTCCCACACAAGCAGTGAAAGGTTCAGGAGTATTACAATTCCATCAAGACTTCAGAACTGCCTTTAAATTGTCAGCATACATCGAAAGATTTGCCGGTCACATCCTGAAAATCACAGAAGACAAGGACTTTGAAACTCTCCGATTTGACTTAGGTTTGCTGAAGCAGATTGCCTTTTCTTGTAAGATGTCAGTTAATTAAGAAAACATATTAGAGATAGAATGAATCTCACACAAATAGAATTCAGTGAAAGGAAAATCAAACTTGGGCTTAGTTTATAACAGACTTAAGATGTATCTTCACAGAGATCGTAGCTCATCCAGTATGGTAGTTTTTCTAAAAAAGTACATGTCATCAAATTTTTTGAAGAAATATAGTTTTTTTTAAAATTAATTACAAGTTCAATTTATTAAAAAAGAAAAGAAACTCCTTGTGTTGGATACTTTATATAGTTGTGTAGTAGTAAATAATTTTTTGATTAAAATGGATAAAGAGTTCAGGTTCTTATGATGTCATCATGTGTTCACAAGATGTGCTTGAATGAATGCCATAAAACTGTGAAATACTGTAAAATCACATATTTTGTGGGGTCAAATTTTCGAGGTTTGAGAAAAAATATTGGTTTGTGGGGATTTGAATTCGTGGTTGGAGAATGTTTAGTAGTAATACATATAAAATTTTACATTTCATGGTGGTCATAAATTCGTGGGTCTCTCCTTACCTCCAAAACAATGAAAATTAAACCCCCAGGAAAGATAGTGATTTCACAGTATTTGACCATGTTTTGTTTTAGCTTCATTTGCCTTCATTAATAGGCTAATTCAACAAAAATACTAGTAAATGTATTTATCTCATATATGTGGGTGATACAGGCCGTTGGATAAACTTATGCTTTATCCATGGGTAGATCTGCTTTATCAGTAGCACTTCCGGTTTTTACACGATCCCTCGCTTCTATTGAAACTTTTATTTGTGAAAATTATTGCCCTTATAAAATGAATGATAAAGGGCAATAATATTGTTAAAAGCAAGAAAAGGACTCATATTTGTCAAATAAGTGTCTTATTTTATCAAAGAACCTGTATTGGCTACTTGAAGGCAGATGTTACCCCCCCCCCCCTTTAAATCATTTTCAAAAAAAGTAAAGACTAGTAATTAAGTTGTTGTTATGAGATTTGATTCCTTTAACATCTTCAATAATGTTTTCGTATATTATACTACATACATGTATGCATACCTAGTATAATGTAGGTGTAACTTACCATGGATCTACAATGAATCTAACATTACAAGTAACCTTGCCTATAGCACGTTTTGTACTGCAACCGAACGAAGAGTTAATTTTCATGATCCCATGGTCCTTACAACTTTCAATCAGAAGTTAATTTGTTTGATGTAAAACTCCAGCAATTGTCACATAATGTTTACAAAGACGCGGATAGGACAAATTTTGACTTTTGAACACAATCTACTTTCTTTGAGGCATGTCAACATCAACGTTGCTAAGTCATCAAGTTATATGTCATCAATTTGAATTGGCAATCATTCATGTAGTTTTGCAGGGGAAGTCTCAAAGTTTTGTTAAAACGAAAGTCGTATGAGATTAATGGAACATCTATAATTGTGTGATTTGATATTGGCTTTATCCAACTCGTTGAAATGGTGTCGGCAAGCCTCGTGAATATATACACCATTTCAACTCGTTGGATAAAGCCAATATCAAATCACACAATATAGATATCCTCTATTTATCTCTCTTAGTCTTGACATAACTGTGGCAGGGCAAATTTAAAAAGGGTGTCAAAATGGTATTGTGAAATCACAATTTTTTCCTAGATGTTTCAATCTTGTGGTTTTCGAGGTTAGGTATGGAGAAACCCATGAATTCATGACCACCATGAAATGTATATATTTATATAGTTACTGTGCAGTGGGTTTCTTTAGCCAGTGTAAAATTGGTGTTTTGCTTGCTCAAAGGTATGTCCATTTTTTTGACATACACAGAGTTCTGTGTTATTGCAAAAGAGAGGAAATTCATCTTTTAGAAAAGTTTCAGTACATTTAATGTGTTGAATACATGTACTGATAAAAGTAAATACCAGATGAAAGTTATATTGCTTAATAAAACTATAGATTATTACATTACATATGTGTTTGAAAATTGATTTATGCCTTTCAATATTTAATAATCTTAGTTTACTATGTTTTTTAATCATGAACACATAAAAAAATAAAATTTAAAAAAACCTGTACAGTGATGACAGGTAAGGCATTTGTTCAAAACTAAAGTAATACTGTAGAAGCACAAATTTGTGGGGATAAAATTTGTTGATTTGTTACCAAAAATAGTTTTGTGGGCATTTAATTTCATTGTTTTGAAGGTAACCCTATTCAATATTTAATCATTTAAAATTTCGTGTGGGATTTAATTTCGTTATAATTGTTGAAACTAAATAAACGAAATTTAATCCCCAACAAATATTTGTGCTTTTACAGTATATATTTTAACAACAAAGTAAAATAGAAGTGTGAATGATTATCAGACATCCTTTTTAGCTTACCTGAGCTAAAAGCTCAAGTGAGCTTTTCTGATCACATTTTGTCCATTGTCAGTCGGTCTGTAAAATTTTCACATTTTTGACTTGTGGAACTTGATTTGTGGAACTACCAGGCCAGTTTCAACCAAACTTGCCACAAATTATCTTTGAGTAAAGGCAATTCAAGTTGTTCAAATGAAGGGCCACACCTTCTTCCAAGGGGAGATAATTGCAAATTAAAAAAAAATGAATGGCATCTTTTAAAAATCTTCTCAAGAACATGATTGTTCAAATCATGGCATGAAGGAGTAGGCTGGGGTTACAATGGACGATCAAAGTTTTACAAAGGAATACATTCTAGGAAAATTTTTTACAAATCTTCTTCTCCAGAGCCAATGAGCCATGATTGGTCATATTTAGAAAGGAACATCCTCTAGGTAATGTAGATTAAAGTTTGTTCAAATCATGACCCCTGGGGGTAGTGGGTACACAATGGATGATTTAAGTTTTACATTGGAATACATAGGATAAATCTTCTTGTCCAGAACCACTGGGCCAAGAAAATTGAAACTTATGAGGATACATCCTCAGGATTTGTAGATTCAAGTTTTGTTCAAATCATGATCACCAGGGGTAGGGCGGGGCCACAATGGTTGATTAAAGTTTTACATAGAAAAAATTTATAAAAAAGTTCTTCTCAAGAACAGCAAAACTATGATTTGTCATATTTATATGGAATCATCCTTTGTTAATCAAGCTTTTATGAATTATAGGGTGGGACCACAATGTTCAAATAACCCATGGGGTAGGTTTGGGCCATAATTGATGATCAAAGATTTACATAGGAATACTGTGAAATCGGTAATTTTTGTGGGGGTTAAATTTTTGTTGTTTTCGAGGTATTGAGAGACCCATGAATTTATAACCACCGCGAAGTATAAAATATCATATGCATTACTAACTAAACATTCCCCAACCACGAAATCAAATCCCCACAAACCAATAATTTTTCCTCAAACCTTGAAAATTTGACCCCATGAAAATATGTGATTTTACAGTACATTGGAAAAATCTTTTAAATCATCTCAAAAACCACTAAGCCATGATCTTTTATATTTATATGGAAACATCCTTAAGTAATGTTGATTCAAGATCAAATCATGACCCCCTGGGGGTAGGGCGGGGTGGCAATGGACGATCAAAGTTATACATAGGAAAAAATGTTTTTAAAAATCTTCTCAACAACAGCAGATACGCAAGCCATGATTGGTCAAATTTATATCGAAGCGTGCTCGGGTAGTAAAGATTCAAGTTTATTCAAATCATGACCCCCAGGAGTTTTGTGGGGCCACAATAGAAGATAAAACTTATAGGAAAAAAATCTCTTTGAAAACTTCTAAAGCCATGATTTTTCAATGAAATATGATAATTGACTTGGTGAGTCAAAACCAATATTCTTTTTGAGATGAATGATTCAATGGAGATAAAATTGGAAAAATTATATGCGTTTCAATTAGTGCTTGTGAGTTGTGATGCATGCATACTAGACTTGTATGTCTATATATCCTAGAGTAGCAGGAAAAGATGAATTAAAGCATGTTATTTGAAAATTAATGCAGAGTTGCTGGACATTTTCACAGTGGCATATTAATATTGTTTCTATAAACATTTTTTATGCGCCCATCTCGATAGATCGGGGGGTACATATTGTTTTTGTCCTGTCTGTTTGTTTGTAAACTTTAACCTTCACCATTACTTTTGAACCAATGAGAGATAAAGATTTCATATTTGGTATGTCTACTCCACTAATTAAGTTCTTTCAAATGACATCAAGGTCAATGACCTTGTGACCTTGACTGTGACCTATATGCTAAAAATAGCTTTTTCGAATATTCATCATAACTTAAAATTAATGAAAGATAGAGACTTTATATTTAGTATGCATAATTCACTAATTAAGCTTTTTCAAAAGACACCTGAAGGTCAATGACCATGAGACCTTGGCTGTGACCCATATCCTTAAAATAGATTTTTTGAACCTTGGACATAAATCTTGAGCCATAAAAGATAGAGAACTTGTATTAAGTATGCACCCTTCATTAATTAAGCTCTTTCAAATAACACCAAGGTCAATGACCTTGAGACCTTGACTGTGACCATATACAATGTACTTGAAATAGATTTTTTGAAACTTCGACATAACTTTTGAGTCATAAAAGATGGGAGAATTCATATTTGGTATGCACCCTTCACTAATTAAACTTTTTTAAGTAACACCAAGGTCAATGACAATTTGACCTTTACTGTAACCCATATGCTAAAATTAGCCATTTTGATCCTCTGCCTTAAATTTTGAGCTATAAGAGATAGAGACTTCATATTTAGTATGCATACTCCACTAATTAAGTTCTTTCAAATGACACCAAGATCAATGACCTTGTGACCTTGACTGTGACCCATATGCTATAAATAGCTTTTTCATCAAACTTTATTGCCACCAGGCGCATAGTGTTTCACAAACATATCTTGATTTTCATTATGATGATCAACATAATTTTCTATCTGTTCAAAGAATAGCAGAAGTAGCTATTTCTTATTGACCCTGTGGCTTGCTATTGTTTGTTATATTCCTCAGCACAGCTTGTTAATTGTTAGATTGATAGATCATTATTTCTATTACAGTGGACCCTCATTTATCCGGACGCTTTGGTTCCAAGTCAATTTGTCCGGATATGTCAAGCATCCGGATATCTGAATCACCAGTTAAACAAGACAAAATAACATTTAAAAAATATCGTTCCGATGAAAAATCGTCCGGATACTGAAGCATCCGGATATCTGGTGTCTGGATATCTGAAGGTCCACTGTAAATACCAATTTATATCTAACTTACATACGAAAAATGATATTGCGGCAATAATGCTGGAAGATGTTCCC